CAAAACTCTAGCTAGTCTCTACTGAGTATGTGCAAAGTATGATTTCCCAAAGGTTTATAATATGGACAAATCTAGGCAGATTTTCTTGGGGATGGCACATATCTGACATGAGAGACATCCATTTGCTCCACAGAAAGGGGTGCTTCTCAAATAAATGTTGCTACAATTCATTAACATAGACATAAAAAACCCAACCAAAAAAAATTGTTTCCTTTACCTCGTTCTTGGAAATGGTAAACTGTTTAACTGAAATTTTCTACAAAAAAAACCAAAAAACCCACACACCAGCCTGAAGCAGACATCTGGTATGAAAAATTTCTTCCCAAATGGTTAAAGTTTGGCAAAGTTGTAAGCAACAACGTCTTATAATGGGAAATGTTGGGTAACCTTAATAATAGGCAGTGCTATCAGCCTCAGCTATAATTACTATTTTTATCTTTTTAAGACTATATTGTTATAGGGTTTAAAGAATACAAGTAAAGTCAGCACATTAATAAATGCTTCAAATCACCACATTATGATGAAAGCAAAACAGTCTGTTTTGTAGTTTAATAGACATATTTTGTGATATGTAAATAATATAATATATTGTCCTGATATCTTCCAGACAAGACCCTAAATTATGTCTTCTCATGCTGAGCTGCTGGGTTTCCTTGATAAGAGTTACAAAAGATTGTGGCACTTTGATAATCCCAATGACGTGGCTAAGGTTCATTCTCTCAGTTGTTGTTCAATAAATGTTTGTATAACAGTTTAAAAAATAATAAAATGGGTTCTGGCAGCAAAAAGGGATTATGAATGAATGATAGGCAAACAATCTCTCCCCTTCCCTCAAATGGCTGCTGTAGTTGTCTGCACAATAAAGGCTGGATCTAAACCACCATGGAAGTTTTTCAACAGCCTTTGAACCAGGCACTGTATTCTGTAAAAATATTTAATTCAGAATGTCTTTTATATCTTGTTCGTGTCACAACTTGAATCTAACAATCAGTGACTGAACCTATCCCCAACAACAGCTGCATCATTTTTGTCTAGCTTCAAAATAACTTGTTCCTTTGCTATTTTTCTTATGTTGGCTAAATCCTAAAAAACATGCCAGCTCAAGTGTGATTTTGCTCTTTGAACACACAATGGCAGGTGCTGTGCATTGTTTGGGCCAAAATCTGCTCTCAGTTGTACTCATGCCATGCTGCTGAAGTCCTGGGTGTGACCCCATTGATGAGAACAGGTATAACTCAGGACATAATTTAGTCCCTTGTAATTAACCACTTAATAATGCCTAGGGAAAGCAAAGTAAAAGGATGATGTGGCAGCCTGTACTGACCCTAGGCACTGTGAGCCTAACAAATAATAAGCTAGGTGGGGCAGTTGATTAATAGACCAGTCTTTCATCTCTGAAAAATCTAGTTTCAAAACAGCTTTATATCACCATTTAAAATGCATTTGGAGATTTAGCCTAGTTTCTAATGTTAATTAGTCCACAGTACAAAAACACCACACATGTACGCTTTTGGATAAATGGCAAGCGTTGCATTAAAGAGTTATAGGACTGAAATAAAAAGGATGTAAAATAAAAGATTAGGACAGAGGGTATATTGTCAGTGATTATATGATAGATTTCTTGTCTTTGGGAAGAGGGACAGAGATCAGAGGAGGAGAGAAAACTTTGTGACGTGGTTCCCTGGGTGCAGTCTGGGACTTTGGGACCATAGTACTCACTTAATATTTCAGCTTGAGCTGTTTCTCACAGTGCTTTTCAAGTGACAAGCAGCAAACCCCTCCGGGTGTCAGCACAACAGCATGTGAAGCCCCATGCCCACGTAGATTGCATGACTGTTCCCAGAGCCACCCATGAATCATGCAAAAGCACCAGCCAAATTCCCCAGGTCCTAGCACTGAACCTCAGAAATACACCACCTTGTGCTGCTTAAGATAAGCAGTGGAAATTTCTGAATTGGTTCCCCACTTCATCAATGGAAAGTAGACATATACCAGCCTTTGTAAAATCAGAGCAAATTTACCAAGTACTTCAGGCAAACTCACTGGTAAAAATAAATGGTAAAACAAGTGTATTGATTATAAATTATAGATTTTAAATGACTATAAATGATAGGCAAAAAGTTAGAAATAAAATATAAGTATGCTGTCTTACCCTACTAGGCTGAGCACCAACTAGATTAAGCAATTTTTCTCTCCCACTGGATGTTTATTGCAGTTCATAGTACACAGATTTCACACTTGAAATCTGGGGCAGTCTCCTCTGATGGAGTTTTCAGTCTCCTCTATTTCAATTTCCACTAGCCATGGGGAAGGCCAGGACAACCCCCACTTCTAGGTCATGACTCACCTCTCTCTGCCTCTGCCCCACTCTGATACCAGTACCAGCGGGGGTGCGCACTTCTTCTGCAGGCTCCTCCCAGCAACACTGCCCAGAGGACTAGCGGGGGTCTGGCACTAGCTGTAGGAGGGGTACCTCCCTGCACTCACTGGCAGTGGTATGTGCCAGGGAAGCAGAGTGATGTGGCCACGGCCTCCTCCAGGTGCCGGCCACATTACTCCACTTCTTGCCAGTGAGTGTGTGCATGGGGGGAGGGACGGGAATTTCCATCCCTCCCCTGAGTGATGTGGCAGGGAGCAGGGGGAGTGGAGCTGTATTACTCTGCTTCCCCACACCACTGCTGGTGAGTGTGGCGGGGGGGAGGGAGGAATCCCTGCTGCAGGTACAGGACCCCCCACTAGTCCCCTGTTTTACCCATAAGTTCTGACCCTTTATCCCTCTCGCCCACGGCCTTTGGGGGTCACATGCTCCTTTGGCCGCCCTCACGTGTCACCCCTGAATACACCTGTTCTGCGTGTGTAGGTCACTCTTCTTTCTGTGCTCAGAACAAACCCAGATGACTCAGATGGATGCATTGTGGTGAGCCACCCACTCCATCTTTAAGCAGGAAGAAAGATATAACTTTTGCTTCTCAGTTGGCAATGAAAACTGCTAATGAACTTGATTCCTGGGCCCCTGGATCTGCTTCTGTACAACTTTTTGGCTCTTGGGTCAAGACTGGGCTCTGAAAGGTATTAGGCCAGACAAGTGCTAAGGGCACCCAAAAGAGAATATAGCTCATAGTTATGAGAAGGTGTTAATTAAATATTCTTTATATAAAATTATAGTACCAGAGCAAATAAAGCAAATTACAAGCATGCAAAACTCTCTGTAGCTGACCTCAGAAACCATTGTTATTGTTAGGACCTCAAAGGTATGAACAGAATGTACTTATTATGCCATCTAAGGACAAAATCCTTTGTCCCAAGTTAGAGTTTGAAAGACTGAGGACTAAGTACTTGCCTACATAGGGAAATTGATGGGAATAGCTATTGTGGAATAAGCTACAGCCGGTCCCCAAGTTACGAACGCATTGACTTATGACTGTTCATATTTACGATCAACCTCCTATACAGCCAGTCCCTGACTTGTGAACGAAATCCGCACTTACGAATGGCACGCCCATACATAAGTGAATGTAATCCGACTTACAAACTGATCGAGTTACGACCTAGTGTATGGTATGTAACTCGTTCGTAAGTTGGGGACTGGCTGCATTCCATAATTCCCTATGGCCATATCTACACTACGTGGAAGATCAATTCTACGGCAGTCGATCTTCCAGGGTTTGAATTTGTGAGTGTACAAACTATTCCAGAATAAAATTATTTTATATTCCAGACTAGAGTGTTTCAGGGAGACTCATAGGCTAGGTCTACACAAAAGGGGAAAGTCGACTGAAGATGCACAACTCCAGCTACATTAATTACATAGCTGGAGTTGATATATCTTGAATCATGTTTTTGCGCTGTCCACTCAGCAGGAGGTCTACAGGAGTAAACACTCCCATTAGCTTCCCTTACTCCTCATGAGGATCAGGGATACCAGTACCAGCGGGGGTGCGCACTCAGTTCAAATTAGCAGGTCTTCATTAGACCCACTAAATCAAACCCCGGAAGATTGACAGCAGTAGCATCGATCTTCTGCATAGTGTAAACATACCTTAACAGAGTACCCATATGGGGAGCTATTCTGGAATAGCTGTTGTGAAAAAAAAAAAAGCTTTTTCTAATATGTATTCCGGTCAAATTCTCTTGTAGACAAGTGCAGAGAGGCCATGTTTACATTTGGAAAAATATATATTTTTTACAATGAAACATCTCGCAGATGATAACAAATTAATTATAAAAACCTAGAGTAGATAGGGAGGTAGTAGTCTTACCAAGGCCCTTTATTAAATTTACTAAAACAAGCTAGAACAGTATAACATATCGAAAGAAAATATATAGGTGTAAATTCTTGTATACTGGTATAAACGCCTTTATATCACTGTAAATGGATTCTCATTAGGGGATTGCACCAATGTAACTAATTTTTTCTACCGATTTAGTTAAATTAATGCAAAAGCTGTGTGTTGTCAAGCCTCTGACTGAAGGATCTCACATCTCAGCAGCCAGTGTCACGATTGCTTCACGCAAGCTGTTATGAATATGGTGTCAAATAAATACATGTTAATGCCATATTGCTGCAAAAGCCTAACTTCTTTTGCATTTGGATGTTTAAAAGAAACACGGAGATTTAACTGAATATGGTGTAACCTATGTTAAGACAAACCACTAAGTAGCACTGTGTTGTGTATAGTCTATAGTTATTTTGGAATAACTATCAACAGTTAACAGTTTGTAAACAGACAGATGCTTGGAAAATCAGGCTGAATCAAAGTCAGTTGTTTGTAGCCTTAGAGAAAATGAACCAGAAGCTGGCTTCAGAAATCTGTTACAATAAATCATTACATTCTATCAGAGGTACCTCTTCCAGAGTAAGAATATTCCTATGTGCCTTAGGCACAAGTTGATAAGCAGTAGGGGGTTCTAATGCCCACATCATGAGTACAATAGATCTTTCTTAAGAATCAGAGAGCATACATTTATTTATTGTAAGTCATTCTATTTTTTTTTTGCAGACATTCTTCTGTGTATCATTAAAGCGTCCCCCATTGTTTGTGCTGGAATGTCTCCAAATCTGGATCATTCCTTCACTGAGAGTTCTGAGTGTGCACAGAATGCCAGACTGCGACCAACATGGCAAAGAGAAATCAGAACTATTTGGGGCTGTGATGGAGTTGGTAAAAATGCTATATAATCCCACCATTAATGCATTAGTTCTGAGATAATCATTCGTTCAGCAGCGCCCTTTCCAACTAATTAGACTGCAGCTTTTCTTAATAAAGTCTGACGTCCCACCAGAAGCAAGGATAACAAACATTCCAGTCCACCAATCCAGATTCCCCTTCTGTGTAGAGCTGGATGAGAGCACAGTCTCAGCAAAATTATAGAACTCTCAGAAGTGAATCATGGAAGCCAACTGTTGACCTTCTCATTTTAACTTCAGAGTGCCTCATGTTAGTGATAGTGATAGAAATGTAGCCGTGTTAGTCTGGTGTAGCTGAAACAAAATACAGGACTATGTAGCACTTTAAAGACTAACAAGATGGTTTATTAGATGATGAGCTTTCGTGGGCCAGACCTGAGGAAGTGGGTCTGGCCCACGAAAGCTCATCATCTACTAAACCATCTTGTTAGTCTTTAAAGTGCTACATAGTCCTGTATTTTGTTTCATGTTAGTGATGTGACACAAACAAATAATAGCAGTTGCCTACCAGTCATTATTACACTATGTAAGCCATTCTGTTTTATGAGATTGGAACAGAAAGAAATTGTTCATTTAAATTTAAATACAGTTGATTTTCTAGATGTCTGTTTGTCATGCTATTGGCTTGTTCATTCAACTGGGTTTCTAAATACTAAAATAACTTGTTCTAAGAGCTACACGCAGGTAGCCATTTGAAGTACATAAAAATGGCTCTCATAACAACTTTTCCAAAGCCATTCAGCCCATTTCAGAGGTAGAATAGAATCTAGGTTACATAACTCCCTTCTTCAGTGTTCTAGTCACTAGGCCTTGATGCTTTCCATAATTCTTACTAAAATAAGTATGATGAGGGGCCTAAATTGGAGTCCAGCTCACAATGGTTTGCTCTATCATCTCTGTATGCCTTTCTAAGATGGACCCCTGAATGTTCTAAAACATTAATACCAGTTTTCACGTTAAGGCTACATTTACACTGCAGCACTATTTTGGGATACTGGAGTATCCTGAAATAGCTATCCTGAGTCTTCACAACAAGCCCGTTATTTTGGGCTCTCTATTCCGATGTCTCTGTAAACCTCTTTCTACGAGGAGTAAGGGATGTTTCGGAATAGCGCTTTATTTCAAAGGGTGTGTAGACTACAGGGTTTTGTCGATAAAAGTGGACTTTTGTCAACAAAACTAAACCTGCGTCTACACTACCACTGAGTTCTGTTGACATAACGTCGACAGAACTCAGCAGTTTTGTCGACGTTGGTAAACCTCATTTTATGAGGAATAACGCCTTTTGTCGACAGGGTTCTGTCGACAGAAGGCATTATTGCATCTAAACTGTCCTTTGCGTCTACACTGTCATGTCAACAAAGCAGCTTGCTTTGTCGACAGAACTGAATGTAGTCTAGACGCTCTTTGTCAACAGAAGCTTTGTCGACAGTATCTGTCAATAAAACTTCTGTCGACAAAAGCCTGTAGTCTAGATGTACCCAAAGTTTGGTGCTGTGTAGACAGCGCCAAATGACAAAATATGCTACTTACCAATGACTTGCCAGTGATTTGTCAGTAACTTTTACTTGCCAGTGAAATTCAGAAGTTTTACTGCAAAATGAAAACCACTGCCATGAGAGGCATACATCTCTTACCACCAATGTTTTTCATAGAATCACAGAATGGGAAGGAACCTTGAGAGGTCATCAAATCCTGATCCCTATACTTGTGGCAGCACCAAGCACCATCTAGACCAAGAGTGGGCAGTAATTTTGGATGGGGGCCATTCCAAGAATTTGGTAAGTGGTCAAGGGCTGCGCTCTTCCATGATATTAATAGAGGAGGTGCAGTGTCTGGGATGGAGATTGGGTGCAGAAGGGAGGTTGGGGTAAGGAATTTGGATGTAGGAGGGGGTGTGGGATTTGGGAGAGAGTTTGGGTGAAGGAGAGTGCTGAAGCCTGTGGCAGAAGACTGGGGTGCAGGAGGTGGTGCAAAATCTGGGAACGGGTTCTGGGAAGGATTGGAGTGCAGGAGAGGATTCTGACCTGGAGGAGTGTTGTGATTTAGGTTAAGGGTGAAGAGGGGGCAGAGGTTTGAGGTGTGACCAGGGGCAGGGGATTGGGGTTCAGGGTCTGGGAAGCATATGGGTGCAGGAGAGGATTATGACATGGAGGAGTGGGTTGTGACCAGGGTAGGAGATTAGGATGCAAGGTCTTTTAGGGGGTTGTGACTTGGAACAGGGGTACAGGAAGGGGGTTGTGACGTGGGGTAGAGGATTGGGGTGCAGGGTCGTTGAAGAGGGAGTGACTGATGGTGATGAAGACCCGAAGCGCTTGTGCCAGACATGGGCTAGAGGTGCAGGAGGGGGAGCAGAGGGTCAGGAGGAGTGTGTGGCTGAGGTTCCAGAGACAGGCTCTGTCTGGAAGGCACTTACCTCTTCCTGCCTGTCCCACCCCCACACGCTGCTTAGAGCAGCTAGCTATGGGGGTTATGTGCTTCTCTGAAGGCTGCGAGTCTGAGGAGAGGAGGGAGGAGTACTTCATGCACCTGGATACTAGCCAATGGGAACTGCGAGATTGCATTGCAGGTAGGGGTATTGCATGAGGCCTCTCTCCTTATCCCAAGGCTTGCAGCATCCAGAGAAGCTCATGGCCCTGGCAGCTGGCTACTCTGAGTGGCATGTTGGGGCAGGGAGCCTAGCTGAGGTTCCCACTGGGCTGTGAGCTGGATCTGGTGTTTTGACAGGCTGGATTCAGCCCATGGGCCATATTTTGCCTTCCCCTGATCTAGACCACCCCTGACAGCTATTTGTCTGTCTACCCTGCCCTTTCCGCAGTACTCTTTCTAAGACAGTAATTTCCCATTTTGTATGTGTGTTATGGATGTTTCTTCCTAAGTGGAGTAATTTGCATTTGTCCATACTGAATTTCATCCTATTTACTGCAGACCATTTCTCCAGTTTGTCCAGATCACTTTGAATTTTCATCCTATCCTCCGAAGCACTTGCAACCCTCCCCACCCTGCAACTTGGTATCATCTGCAAATGTTAAAAGCATACTCTCTGTGACATTATCTAAACAATTGATGAAGATATTGAATAGAACTGGTCCCTGAAGTGATCCATGCAGAACCCCATCTTTTATGCCCTTCCAGCATGACTGTGAACCACTGGTAACTATTTTCTGAGAACAGTTTTTCAACCAATGATGTACCTACCTAATAGGAGCTCCACCGGGGATGTATTTCCCTAATTTGTCAATGAGAAGGTCATGTGAGACTGTATCAGAGGTTTTACTAATACTACATATACCACTTCTCCTATATCCCCCCGATCCTATTTTGATTTGGAAACACTGAAACACCTTTATCAAAAACAAAAGATAATTATGTTAAAATGTTTCATTTCAGTAATGCTGATATATTTAATTTAGATGCGAAAATCTTATAATAGAGACAAAAGAAGGTGAGCTATTATCTCCTTTTGGAACTTCTATTGGTGGTAGGGGCAAGTTTTGAACTTTACAGAGCTCTTCTTCAACAAACCTTATAAATTGCCCGCCTCTCCAAACCACAGTGCTCTTACATATATATTTGAGGAACTTTATAAAAAGGCTGTGTCCTGCATCACTATCCCTACTCTTCTCCTGACATGGATCAAAATTTCAATATGTTCAGTGCGCCAATGTTTTTATCCTTACATAATTTGCTCACACATTACTTCATTCAAGAATTAATGAGCATCTTTCTGTCATAATCCAATACCCGTCCCTAGAGCCCTGCAAATCCATGGATATCTGCTTAATATCCACAGGTATCTGTATCCATGGATGTCAATGAGGATATCCACAGCTCATTGTGGATACAGATGTGGATGCTGATACAAATTTTATATCCATGCAGGACTCAACCCATCCCTCTCCAGAACACCTGAAAAAAGGATTAAATTTGGTTAGGAAAACCACCCAAAATTATCAGCATTGATTTTCAGGTTTCATATGTACAGGAAAGCTGGAAGATATATTAATCATCAGTCATCTCCACCCTCCTCCCCCCCCCAAAAAGCAGACATGGTTAAGAATGTTATAACGACTTGCAGAAAGACAAGGTGGATGAGGTAATATATTTTACTGGCAACTTCATTACCTCTCTCACCTTGTCTTTCTAATATCCTGGGACCAACCTGGCTACAACTATTCTACATAAAGACCTGCACATTATTGTAGTTTTTCCAGGTGTCACAGAAAGAATTTAAAATATATTCCTTATGACCTACACAAAATGCAGCCAGACTTTTTAAACAGTGAAAGCTAGGTTCACCAAAAAAATCACATCATGCCACATAAACAGGCTAGTAAAATATAAAATATTGCTGACTGGATTTTTTTATATTTTTATCCTAATTATATTTGCTTGATGTGCTTAGTGAAACAGTGAAATAAAAAGAAAATATACATGTAAGTGAAAATAAATGAGCAACTAAGAGAGGGAGAAAGACAGCATTTTTACATGGATTTTAAAATAATTTTGGAACACAAAACAAAGTAATCAGTTACGAAAAAGTGTTAGATTTACACATATGCATAATACAAATGATAATTAGAATAATTATGAGTTGCAAGAAAATTATACCACCTCTATTATCTGGAAAGTTTCTGAAGTGCTTTATAAACTTGTAGGGATCACTCATGTATCATTGAATGCAGTCACTTTCGGCATGAAATGTGGAAGTAATTCCATTCCAGTAACATAACACAGCAGTTTCTTCAAAAAGGACAGTAAAAAACTATTGTGATGGCATTAGAGCTTATAGATTCATGGGGCCAGATTGCCTCCTCCCATGGATAAAACTAATTTTACAGGAGCTAAGGGAAAAGAAAACTCTATGAAGACCTCAAGAAGAGAAAATCAGTGCAATTTATGGTAGGACAAAGAATACTGAGAGAGGAGAAATGGAGAATTATATAAATCTCTTCATGTCATAGCAAGGCTGGGGAGAATCAGAAGGGTGAGGAGCAAAGAGAAAAGTGAAAAAATGAATCAGGATAAAAACCAAAGTAGCAGGAGAAGTTTTAGAGATTGGCAGAAAGAGAAGATGGGAAGCCTGAAATAAGAGAAGTATTGAAATGAGTGGGAGGGACAATAAGTCATGAGTGTCCTATGTTTTATAGAATAAAACAGAGGACAGATTAGCAGAGAAAATGATGATGTGTGTTAGTGTATGTGCGCTTTAAACAGGTCACTTTAGGCTAAGGGCACAACTTTAAAAATGTCACTCTCCTTTCTTCTCTATGCTTTTCTTCCCCTCCCTTCCCAGATATTTAGCTTTTTGTTCTTTTTTCCTATTTTTGCCTTATTTTAAGAAAGAAAGAAAGAAAGAAAGAAAGAAAGAAAGAAAGAAAGAAAGAAAGAAAGAAAGAAAGAACTTAGGGGAGTCCACGTCTCAAAGATTCTAGTGCTTTCAAATTGCTTTTCAAGCCCACCTTTTATTCTAGCAACATGACTTTCTCCGGAAACCTTTGCAACATCTGTACTTTACTTCAGTACATGGTGCGGAGGGAATAAATACTGCCACCAGCACTGGCCAGACAACCAAGGCCCTGAGATGGTTTTGGTCACTGATTTTATGTAAATTGAAAAAAAAATCTGAATGATGCCCTAAGTCAATATTTATGAGGGGATGAAATTGGCAGGAGAGTTGAGCCTTTATTGCCATGTGAAAGAAAACTTCACATTTCATAAAGTAAGTATTGCCTGTCTCAATAAAAGGGGAGCTTGCAGAACATATGTTCAGATTTTCCTTCCTTTCCTGCTCATCTGATAGAGAAATTAAATACAAAATTCTATTTTCCTCCCTACTTCATAGCTCATGCAGTGTCATGTTGCAATCAATAATTTTTGAGTTCATTGAAAGTAGGTGTTTATTTAAATTGTGAAATCTGATATCTTCGTAATAAATATATTCAGCAATGTATTGCATGATAAACATTGGTAAAACAAATAAGCTAAACTTATCAGAAGGGAAATATATTTGCATTAATTTCTTGTTTACCCAAAGGCTTCAAAATATTTTAATAATAAATCTAAGAATAATATTACTTCAAGGCTGTGTCTACACTGGCATCCCTTCCGGAAAAGGGATGCTAATGTAGCACTTTGGAATAGGCAAATCCGCGGGGGATTTAAATATCCCCCGCAGTATTTGCATTAACATGGCTGCCGCTTTTTTCCGGCTTGGAGATAAGCTGGAGAAAAGCGCCAGTCTAGACGTGATTCTCCGGAAAATAAAGCCTTTTCCGGAGGATATCTTATTCCTACTTGAAGGCTTTATTTTCCGGAGAATCACATCTAGACTGGCGCTTTTCTCCAGCTTATCTCCAAGCCGGAAAAAAGCGGCAGCCATGTTAATGCAAATACCGCGGGGGATATTTAAATCCCCCGCGGATTTGCCTATTCCAAAGTGCTACATTAGCATCCCTTTTCTGGAAGGGATGCCAGTGTAGACACAGCCCAAATGTTTTTAACTTTCATGGTTATGCAGATAGAATTCAAACCTGAATGCATTATTTGGGCCAAAACTTCAATTGCTTTCAAGTAGACCCCAAACCCTTAAAACCAGATTGAGGATAATTGGCTGTAAATAAAAATCTATAGCCTACACTAGCACTCATTTTTAGACTTGGTAGCATAATTCAATAATTGTGCTTAGTAACTGTTTC